AAAATCTCACAGCCGTAGCCCCAGTAGTTTCCGAGATATAGCGGTTCAAAGTTTTTATTTAAGACTTTCCAAAACTTTTATATAAAAAGTGAAAAATGGGTCCCATTTCCGTACCGTTCACTCTAAAAGGACGAAAATGGTATCATTTACGTAAAATCACGAGAGGAATCCGAATATGCCCCCGGAAGGATCGTAGCTCAACTCCTTCTATCCGAAATCGCAATTTTGAGCTTATTTTTCAGGCACTTTTGAGGCTTTGGTTGGGGGTGTTCCCAATCGAAAAATCGACTTATTCAGGGTGCAATCGGTAGGTCTCTGACCGTACTTTCAAGTTCAAGTGCCAAAAGTATGAGGTATGGCCCTCGTTTTCGCTCCACAGCCCGTTGAAAAATAAAAAATCGCCAATTTGACCCATTTTGAGGCAAAATGGCACATATTTGAGGCCATATTGCAGGAGATCGGCACCAGGTACAGAGGTCTGCCAGGGCTCATTTGAAAGGAAATTTCATGCCCTTTCGATATGTGAAATAAAAATCGTGGGTATTTGCCTTCTTTTCACGGTACACGCAGATATGTAAAAGTGTACAAACCTCAAAAGCGACATAATTCACCAAAATTTGTTTAATGACTGAAATGAAAGTCTTGTGTGCCTCTACCGCACTAAAAACGGTTTTGTTATTCATTTAGAGTGCAGGTACCTTCTGATACGCACCTCAGTGCGAGCATTTTGGTGCCAAGTCTATCGAATGAGGGATTTATTTGAATGGTACAGCCTCGGCCACCTCGTTGATGGAATAATTGTTTCAAGCATGGCGGCAAGGGGACGTCCATTAACAAAGGAAACGCAGTATTGGACCCTTGGAGACCCGCGCATTTGACATGTGATTGACGTTATTACTCTCATTGCAGGAACGTGACATCACGTTGAAACGAACGTGACAAAATGTAAAAAAAATGACAAAATGTCACGTTCGTTTGAGCAATGTGTCTCGTTTGTTTGAATGTGAACAAGCTGATAATGGGCCAATTCACACCCAAACGAATGTGACACAATGCTCAAACGAACGTGACATTTTGTCTCGTTCGTTTCAACGTCATGTCACGTTCCTGGAATGAGAGTGACTCGTATGAAAGAGCACCGGCAGCAACAAATACAACAAACGACGAACACAAAGCTATGTTGCTCATACCGAGTTACACCATTGGTCCTTGGGGCACTTCGGTCCATTTCAAATTTCTTGGGGATAGAGCAACCGCAGTGACTTCATGCGGGTAATAGAACCTGGGTCTGAACCTCCAGGTTTATTTTCAGAAGTCTCAGAAGACATTTCACGGCAGGCAGACTTATGGCTAGGGAGCGCAGTTTGATTTTGAGAAAACCAGGTAAAAGTAAAATGTTGGCCGCATAAAACCATCTCGTTTACTCTACAAACTCAAGTGTGTACATAGTACACTCCAACCTGGAGCATACCTGGCATGTACACTACGGGTTGGCGCACTCCGACCTGTAGTGTACATGCCAGGTATGCTCCAGGTTAGAGTGTGCCTGCATGTCGACTGCAGGTGGAGTGTACTGTGTACACTTGAGTTAGTAGAGTAGTAGCACTTCCATCAGTCCTTGGCCCAACCAACCATTTCATGTTAAAGCCTGTTAATTTGGCTTTAAGGGGGCAGTAGCGTCTTTTGCACGTGTTTTGACGATTTTCGAACCTCCTGTTTAGACGTTAATATAAAGATAAGTATGAATGCCAGAGGCAAACGGCAGGCACCATTTGAAAGATAAAAGTTTTTACAACATTTTCAAAAAAAAATATTTTGTTTTAGCATTGAATTAGGATGTTTTGTGTTATATGCAAAAATGGTCTGCAAAATTACATGGTTTCACTGCGCGCACGATTGCAGCCAAAGTTTTTAACTTTTTACCAATCGGTAAAATGCATCTGAAAAAGCATGAAATTGCCCATAAAATGACCCTTGGGTTTCAATATTGGGCAAGAAAAACTATTGAAACGCTCATCTTCAACTTAAGATGGAAACGAACCACATTTTTTCTGGCCCAATATTAAAACCCAAGGGTCATTTTATGGGCAATTTCATGCTTTTTCAGATGCATTTTACCGATTGGTAAAAAGTTAAAAACTTTGGCTGCAATCGTGCGCGCAGTGACACCATGTAATTTTGCAGACCATTTTTGCATAGAACACAAAACATCCTAATTCAATGCTAAAACAAAATATTTTTTTTTGAAAATGTTGTAAAAACTTTTATCTTTCAAATGGTGCCTGCCGTTTGCCTCTGGCATTCATACTTATCTTTATATTAACGTCTAAACAGGAGGTTCGAAAATCGTCAAAACACGTGCAAAAGACGCTACTGCCCCCTTAAAGCCAAATTAACAGGCTTTAACATGAAATGGTTGGTTGGGCCAAGGACTGATGGAAGTGCTACTACTCTACTAACTCAAGTGTACACAGTACACTCCACCTGCAGTCGACATGCAGGCACACTCTAACCTGGAGCATACCTGGCATGTACACTACAGGTCGGAGTGCGCCAACCCGTAGTGTACATGCCAGGTATGCTCCAGGTTGGAGTGTACTATGTACACACTTGAGTTTGTAGAGTAAACGAGATGGTTTTATGCGGCCAACATTTTACTTTTACCTGGTTTTCTCAAAATCAAACTGCGCTCCCTAGCCATAAGTCTGCCTGCCGTGAAATGTCTTCTGAGACTTCTGAAAATAAACCTGGAGGTTCAGACCCAGGTTCTATTACCCGCATGAAGTCACTGCGGTTGCTCTATCCCCAAGAAATTTGAAATGGACCGAAGTGCCCCAAGGACCAATGGTGTAACTCGGTATGAGCAACATAGCTTTGTGTTCGTCGTTTGTTGTATTTGTTGCTGCCGGTGCTCTTTCATACGAGTCACTCTCATTCCAGGAACGTGACATGACGTTGAAACGAACGAGACAAAATGTCACGTTCGTTTGAGCATTGTGTCACATTCGTTTGGGTGTGAATTGGCCCATTATCAGCTTGTTCACATTCAAACAAACGAGACACATTGCTCAAACGAACGTGACATTTTGTCATTTTTTTTACATTTTGTCACGTTCGTTTCAACGTGATGTCACGTTCCTGCAATGAGAGTAATAACGTCAATCACATGTCAAATGCGCGGGTCTCCAAGGGTCCAATACTGCGTTTCCTTTGTTAATGGACGTCCCCTTGCCGCCATGCTTGAAACAATTATTCCATCAACGAGGTGGCCGAGGCTGTACCATTCAAATAAATCCCTCATTCGATAGACTTGGCACCAAAATGCTCGCACTGAGGTGCGTATCAGAAGGTACCTGCACTCTAAATGAATAACAAAACCGTTTTTAGTGCGGTAGAGGCACACAAGACTTTCATTTCAGTCATTAAACAAATTTTGGTGAATTATGTCGCTTTTGAGGTTTGTACACTTTTACATATCTGCGTGTACCGTGAAAAGAAGGCAAATACCCACGATTTTTATTTCACATATCGAAAGGGCATGAAATTTCCTTTCAAATGAGCCCTGGCAGACCTCTGTACCTGGTGCCGATCTCCTGCAATATGGCCTCAAATATGTGCCATTTTGCCTCAAAATGGGTCAAATTGGCGATTTTTTATTTTTCAACGGGCTGTGGAGCGAAAACGAGGGCCATACCTCATACTTTTGGCACTTGAACTTGAAAGTACGGTCAGAGACCTACCGATTGCACCCTGAATAAGTCGATTTTTCGATTGGGAACACCCCCAACCAAAGCCTCAAAAGTGCCTGAAAAATAAGCTCAAAATTGCGATTTCGGATAGAAGGAGTTGAGCTACGATCCTTCCGGGGGCATATTCGGATTCCTCTCGTGATTTTACGTAAATGATACCATTTTCGTCCTTTTAGAGTGAACGGTACGGAAATGGGACCCATTTTTCACTTTTTATATAAAAGTTTTGGAAAGTCTTAAATAAAAACTTTGAACCGCTATATCTCGGAAACTACTGGGGCTACGGCTGTGAGATTTTGCACGGATGTTACCCCCTATGAGGGCAGCATTTGAGCCAAATATGAGCAAAATCGGAGATGGTCGATTAAACTCGTGTAAATCTACCATGGAACGCCCCCACAATTGTCCGCCGCAGCCCCATGATCTAGCCATGATCCCGATCCAGATATGGCGGAAAATGGCAAATACGCCACAAAACGCCTGCGTGATTTCTCATGAAGGAGCTGGTGTTAAGCTCGCTGCGCACGCTTGCGCGGTCTGCTTCGTAGTTAAGATTTCGTTCAACGATTATTTTTTTGCATACCAACCACTTCATTTTGTCGTCAATGTTATTTTACACGCCGCGAGAAGTAGGCTGAATGTGAAAGGGTACCCGCCGATGTAATTATAATATTCAAGAATACTTGGCCCAATTTACAAGTGAGGGAGTTGAGATGTGAGCGGCGCGGACCGCGCCTTGGAACATTGTGTCACATTCGTTTGAATAAGAATAAGCTAATTTATGGCCGATTCACACCCAAAAGAATGTAACACAGCGCTCGAAGGAACGCGACATTTTGTTACATTCGTTGCAACGTGATGTCACGTTCCTGGAATGAGGGTGGATGCAGGGCAGCATTACCGTGTGGGGCTGAAGTGCAGGCGAACACGCATAGCAATTCACTTTCAGACAGGTCAAACCCGCTCGTGGTGAAAATTCTGGGTGTGGGCCAGGTCAAATCTATTACAGTGTGTTTCGACTTAACCTGCGCTCTTTTTCTGTTTCATTGAAAGATAGTCTTTGAAGATCACCCCTTTGTGACCGAACTGTTTACCTTGGCAGCTTGTCAAACATCTGTACTTAGAAGAAGTACACGAGTGCTCATAGACCGGCTGAGTCAGTTTACGAATCTTGCGTGTAAAATATCACGGCAAGTTAAGGCAACCAAATTGAAGGTGCTGGTAACAGCATTGATGCAACTATTCTGTCAGGTTGGAGTCTGTGCTGCTGCCTTTCATCGTACTGTGGACAATCGTGCTGCTAATGGCGTTTGACCAAGTTCGGACCAAAACTATCAACTCGTTTGCTGTAGGTATCGTGTCAGGTAAGGGAGTGCGGGGTACACATCGGCTACGGGACAAAGTACCCAAAATACGTTTCTTGTTGTCGGAAGTAGCGCCAGCGTACTTTGACCTGTTTCAACAGTTCTTCACAGTCGTGCTTTGTTTCTCTGGCACACGCATAAACACTCCAAATCCAAAGGTGATGACAAAAGGCCTTCTAAGAGGTGATAAACAAAAGAGTCGCATTTTGGCTATACTTCGGAGTATTTCCAGGATTTGACAATGACAAGGGATGGCAAGGGGACTAGTTCATTGTAATTGCCACATTTTCGCAATACTTTTGTGTATCGCCGTTTTGAGGGCAAGATTGTTTCTCGGTACTCAATTGTTTTGCTAAAAGACAATGTAAAAAATTTCTCGTAAATTAACGAGAAAAGTTTGGGTAGTTTTCTTTTACGAACTGTTTGTGATTTTACAAAAATGTCGTTTATATACGACATATGTCGTACATTTTCGAAATGTGTTCGGCTCATTATTAAGATTTTCAGCTTTAACAAGCGTGCTGTCAAAAATCTTCCAAAAATATTTTTTTTCTTGTAACAACAAATGTTTTAGTTCAAAAAGTTTACGAAAAGTTTTCATATATAAACGACAACTTTGCAAAAGAAAATAACTCAAACTGATATCGTTGTTTTTTGGCAATATTTCGTAAAGCCTCACTTAACAAAACATTTCGTAGTGATATTGTCTGTAAATTCGCCAATTTAGAAAGATTTCTCTCTTTACGAAGTGATTTTGTAGGATTACGATACATTTTGTAATGATTGTGTAGGATTACGATACATTTTGTGAATTGACACAACTGTAACGTTTTTTTTTATGAAACAAATCGTGTACTCATATTCGTTAATTCACGATATTTTTTTACAGTGCACTCATGTATCACCTTTTGGATTTGCAGTGAACCGGGGTAAGTTTAGACACTTCACGTTTTATGTGGCGTCTTTCACTTACCCGAATACATAAATTTAACGGTTTTCTTACAGTGTAGCTTATTTGTGATGGGTCGTCTGAGGGTAAACCTCCGGTGCGAGGAAACTACGGGAAGGTTTAGTGTTTTTGGTGCCACCCGTTTCTTGCATCCCACAGACATAACGGAGAAACATCATGAATTTGATATTAATGTAATCCCTGTTCAGGGCCCGTACATTGCAATTGGCCATAAATTCGACACCTGCCCATCGGACAGAACCATAGAAGTACTTATCCGTGTTAGCCACTTCAACCCTTCAAGACCCTACGATCTGCAGACCATTTCCGGAAACTTGTCACTCAAAGAAGACATGAAGGACAATTATTGGGTAAAGTATAAAGAAGAAGACCATTATCAAATCACACTCTCAGCCTCTATGCGTGCTTTCTTTTATCTGTAGACCTTGTGAATGAAAACTAGCTATATTAATTTTGAATTTTGTTCATAGCTGCAAAGCGTAAGTCACAAAGTTTACTGTTCAGAGAATGATAAAAAATGAATCTATAAAAGACCGCATTAATGTTAGGTGGCAAATCTCGGTAAGAATCTTTAGTCTTACTTTACAGTAACTGAACAGTTTTCTGTGACATTATGATCTGATTAGTCGCCTCCAACAGACGTACATTGCAACTCACATAACTGTGATCACTCATAAATTGCGACACAGAATTTCCGATAGGCATAAAATCAAAATTTAATAGCTGTTGTGACTGGAGAAACATAATTTGAATACGCATAACATTTTTAGAAATAACTCCGAATTTTATAAACGATATGTCAACTAAAAATACAGAAGAGAGGCGACACACTGTTGTCACACACGAATTTTTTTTTTATCAATGCGGCTATCCTGCCGTACGTTCCTATCTGCTTTGAATCTGCAGTTATTTCTGTTTTTGAGTACTCTTGACACTTGCACACTCTTCTATCTTTACTTTAGACGGCCATAATTTACCCTATCGTGGCTCGAACCTTCGCAGAACCTCCTTATCACCGCGTCCTGGACTGCTTTGGCAAAGAATGAATAAAGCTCAAAATCGGGCGACTTTTGAGTACAAGACTCTGAACCATAGTTGGTCAAGTTTGAGCCAGCCGTTTGTCCAGGATGGCGTCGAACAGCTGGAATTTCAGACTGTTAAGGGAAGGTGGGGTACCATGTGACGGTTTTTGTTAAGTTCCCGTCAACCCAATACTACCAATCACATGACATCCATAAGTAGTCATGTGAACAGAATGATTCTTCACCCTAAAATTGCTGTTGAGATTTCTAATTTATCTGTTTTGGTTGCTGAGTTATCCCGAGTTGAATGGGCCTAAGTCAAAGTGTCACTTCGTACCCTACGTAGTACAGTATGTGACAGCCTTAGTGCACCATGTGACAGTGGCCTTTTGTCAGGGTTTAAATCCTATTCAGCGTACCTATACGCAAAGAATGAATGAAGAAGTCTTCCAGCTTTTTATTTCCGTTGAGTTTATCAATTTATCATCTTCGGTTCCCGAGCAATGAAGGTTTTAGTTATTAGTGTACAAATGTCATGGGCTGAACACATTCAACTGAGTGAATCGTGGAATCCCATAGCGAATGAGAGTGGTGTCACATGGTGCCCAGATCAACAGTTTTAGGGGAAACAGCAATAACGCTCAAAGTTTATGACGTAGAGAATCGAGCCAAAGCTTATATTGCGCTTAAAACATCAAAGAAGAACATCTTGCATAGCATATGTCCTTAAAATGTGTTTTAAAGGTAAAAAGCGGACGCGGCGGGAAATAGAAAAAGTTTCCAATGAGCTATTTTAAGACTGTTTTCAATTCTGATCGCTACCATTCCCGTCCTTTTCGAAGGAGAGTCGCGACCCATTGCACGCCGATTCTCCTTCATGATACCTTACTTTGAGTCTTCTTACCGCTGTTGGATAGCAAGCCGTTTAGGAGAAAAAGCCAAAGTCACAGGGTGGCCGTGTCACATGGTACCCCACCTTCCCTTACTGCTGATTGGATGAAGTTCATCTCCATCCTGGTCAAACGGCTGGCCGGAACTTTACCAATTATGGTTTTCAGGTGGGCCAGGACCCCTTCAACCCAACCCTTAAGTCAAAAGTCCCGAACACCAAGTAGGTTCATAGACAGAGCTCCTTTGACCTCGAAAAAATCACCACTTCCTCCTCCGCCCGGACGGCGACCTCGTGGTACGTTCTCGCATCTCAGAAAGTAGCTACTGGGTGAAGAACGAAACTACAGCGTTAGGCACCGACGGCCCGGAGGCCTCAACGCCACATGGCGGTCATCGTGGTGGCCCTGGCAGGACGAAATCGGGTATAGATGACGTGACCGACGACGCCATACCCAAATATGGGCGACGATTTTTTTTAACTGCCCAAAATTTAGTCACCGCTGGCTCTGGCTCGTCACCCAAATTTGAGCGACGATGCGTGCGTCACTCAATGAAAAGGTGATGGTGGTAACTCATTCTCAGTGTTTGTGTGTGTCAACAGTGATTTATTTGAAAAAATAGATTGTGCGTGTTGCAAAATTAATTTCCTCTTGTTTAAGTTTTGAAGATATCAACAATTAAATAAATTGTTTATTTCTGATGCAGTTTATGACTGAGTCCGGGGGCATTCCACGCCAGTTCATCCGGGAACCCAAATTTCACTCCTCGGATTTGGGTTCTGGTGACTTTTTCTTGAAGTAATCATCACTAACAACAAAACCATAAAACAGTTTTCCAAAATTTCAATTTGTATAGGAGATATGGCCAAAAGAAATTTTCAGAATCACACATTTAAAAAAAATATATATGTTTTCCAGCTTTTTAACCAAACTGGTGAGACGTATGACCCAAGATGGGTTTTCATTCTTTATTTTAGACCACCACACCATTAAAAAAGCAAACAAAAATATTCTAATTTTTTTTTTTAAATGTGTGATTTTGAAAATTTCTTTTGGCCATATCTCCTATTTAAATTGAAATTTTGAAAATCTGTTTTAAGGTTTTGTTGTTAGTGATGATTACTTCAAGAAAAAGTCATCAGAACCCAAATCCGAGGTGTGAAATTTGGGGTCCCGGATGAACTGGCGTGGAATGCCCCTCCGGTTATGTGAGTTGCAATGTATGTCTGCTGCAGCGCCTCCGAATAGATAGACTGACAAATTTACTGGAGACATAGAAAATATTCCAGTGTAAGTTATGCAGTATACCTCATTTCACAACAGCTCTCCTTGGTATTGGCTGGTAGGTAAATGGGCATGGTGTCCGATTCAGAAAGACACTGTAAAATGAACAGCTTTTCGTTTCCGCTGCCAAATTTCACCATGGAAATGGATTATATTTCTTTGAATGTGAGCTTATCAGTATCATGAACGTAATGAGGAAATATCAATTGACATAATAACAGTTCAATGTACATTGTAAACATTTTTTCCGAGGGGGTATGCACTCTCTGAACCTGTGTACCGACTATTACGCTATTACGCTCTATTACGCCACAAATTAATCGGAATTTAGCGAAAAAACGGCCTAAAACACTCCAAAATTGATAAAAATGTGACAATTTTGGCTATTACGCGACTATTACGCGACTACTACGCGTCTTATTACGCGTGCTATTACAGATAGAGTGAACCGACTATTACGCTAGTGCATACCCCCTCGATTTTTTCCTAAAGTTACTGAAAAAAAAAAAAAAAACTTTATGATAGCTGTGACCTCAAAACAATAGGCTATAGTACATATTTTCAACATCATTAACAAAACATGCCAGGCTGAGAGTGGCAGAGTCATCCGGCTCGACCTGATTTAGATCCACGTCTTGTTTACTCTCTCCGTTATTAGGCGATTATTTTTGCCTTGTAAGGCGTAAGTATGCGCTCGGAACAGTAAAGTCTCCTCTTTCTTTTGTTCCTTGTAGCTACCCACAGCATCGCGAAGAGCATTTTTATCATGTTGCAGTCTCGCGTTGACTTGGCCGTGCGATCAAACAACCAATGGAAAGAGAACGCCTTCGTCCTCAATTTCCCAAGACTGGGATGCTCTGCAATCCGTGAACATGCTCCCGACTTCTTCCGCATCCTTGCGAAGCACACCGGCGCACCAACAGACAAGGCGACTCCCTGTGTCATACCATCGGTACGCACTCGGAGTTATTTGGTTGGCCTATCATGCAAAATCACACTTTTGATTCAATTCTTCACTTTACAGGGGGTTTACGTTTTGAAGAACGAATCGGTGAGCTGGACGTTTCCCAACTTTCCGGTAATACCGTACGGCCGCTACCGGTTTCGGGTAATGTCACGCAGCACCAGCACCAGCCGCACTCCGGTTCTTTGCCTGGAAGTCGAATGCGAAGCAATCCCGAAACCGTAGACAGCGCCTCGTCTCAATAAAAGGAAACAGAGTGAACTTGCAGTAGGCATTTTCATGTGAATAACAGGGATCCTTAACTTAACTCAACATTTAACTAACACTGCTGTCATAACGTAACATAAGACAACGTTCGCTATAGGTTAAGGGCATGGACTCATGAAAGTACTTGCAAAAGTATATCCACACAAATTCGAGACATAAAAAAATAACTTACCCTTTGGAAAAGATGTTAGAAGTTAAGGGTAATAACTTTAACTCTTATGACAACGTTATGATGCCCTTATGAGGTAAGTTAAGGATCCCTGGTGAATAACGTGGCGAGTCCGAAAATGAAAGTCCGACTGAAAGTTTCATAGCAGTTTTCGATTGGTCTCAGCAAAGACTATTTCGTCGATGGGTCGGAAAGGCGTCCAGGCAACCGTAATGAGTTTTGGGAACCGATGACATGGTGCCGGGTGCAGGCGCGGTGCATCGCAACGGTAAGCCGGTAGCTGTGTCAGCGTGCTAGCCAGAATGTGGCCGCGAGGGGTCCGACGTCCGCCAGCGGACGGCAGTAATACGACGCTCACACCATCGATGCGGCGGCCCGAGAGGCTTTGCTGCGTTTGTTTTGCCTTCGCAGCTTTTACCATTACCCTGCTACAGTTTCAGTTTGTTTTGCCTTCGCAGCTTTTATCACCCTGCTACAGTTTCAAACGGCGTTGCCGAGACGGACATAAGTTGAAAATGTAGCCACCAATTTTAAAGTTGTCTACTGGCATCATGAAGCCGTCCACACAATCAGTTTCGAGAATCAAGGGCCCAGGGCCCCCGAGGTCCTGCCAAGAGTTTCAATTCTTCCTCCAACTTTGCGAGTAAAGTTTCTAGTCGTTGTAAGCATTTAACTACAATTGAGGATTAAGAATGTTCATTGCCAACGACTGATAATTCTTTTTGCCCTTCTTATAGTAATTTCAGTTAATAGAGACCTTCGAAGTGAGAATGCAAAGTTAAAACTTTCCCTTGCAAGAGAAAAAGAAAAATATAGTGACCTTGCTTTGAAATGTTCAGAACTAAAAGAAGTTAATGTTTCTCAACAGGTATAAAATAATTTATTTGTTAACTACCGTTTTTCACTTTTTCCTAGGGAAGGGCGCAAAGTGGGCCACGAAGCCGGTTTAGGCGGACATAATTCTCTCAGGCCTTACCAATGGTTATTTTGACGTTTAACTTGGTAGTCGGGGGTTGTGAGGGGCGGAGAATCCGTTTTTGGCAATATCTGATGCATTGGACCGTCCTTTCGCACCTCAAGTGCGAAATTTGACAATATCTGATGCATATGGACCTGTTACGCCAGGACATGGTCTGACAAATTTTCTGCATTTTCATGAATTGAGCAACGCAAAAACCAAAACATGCACTCAGGTTGAACGAAAACTCTGACATGCACAACTCTAATCATTACAAACGAAAACTATGCAGCAACTCCTCCGTTACGAAGTGAAGCGTTGCGCTGCGCGGGACCGTTTTTCTCCTTTTAGGTGATGTTTGGGAGACCCTACAATTCAAAGGTGCAGGTAGGTGCAGCTAAATTCTTTTGGGTTTTGTTCTTTGGCATGTTGGCTTCCGCAAGGACTGAAGCAGGCCGTTTAACAGCGTTAAACAAAAAAGTGCCGCCTCTGCAAAGGTTTAATTTTAACAATTTTGTAAGAGAGTAGTAAAAATGAAGCTGGACACCACAAAAATCGTCCAAAATCAAAAGTAAATGTATGCAAATGTTCGTGAAGAAAGGCCCTTTAACGTGGTGTCAGTAAAAAGTTTGCTGCACAAAAATGTATAAGTATTTTTTGCGTTTGAAATCATGCATATTTACTGCACCAAAGTGGCGCAAATCGTTTGTTGCGTGATTGACCACCTGTATGTTTGCCTCAGTGTCCCAGCGTTAAAATTCTGTTCAATCCTGGTTCCTTGGAGTATTGGGAAGAGATGTCATGGAAAAAAATACGATTTCGAGAAATCCTAGGAGTCACGAAGTCAATATGGTTATTGTGTAGGAGTGTGGAGAAAGGAAAAAAGTTGTGTAAAAGGGATAGGGGATGGTTTGGGTACGAATGGCAGTGGTACCAGTGTGGTCGATGTGCCACCCGTCAAAATTTAAACTTGGCAACAAAAAGAAATCAAAATGCCGTAAAATTCGAAAAATTCCAATGCTAATGAATTCCACAGTGGAACATCTTTGAAGTTAATTATTAAAATGTTCGTGGGGGAAAGGAGGCAGTAATTTAATTTTCGCGGGTTGGCAACAATCTTCTCGGCAACTGCGCCCTTGCGAAAATAGCGAAGCCGAAAACACGAGTAGTCGCGCGTTAAAACTGCCCCGCCATTGTTGCTGACGTTGAATTGTTTGGCTTGTTTCAAGAGGCGGTTCTCTAGTCATGTTTTCTTCAATTCTGTGTAATAGTTCTCATTCACAACGTAACAACACCACGACGGTTGGTTTGACAAACTTCATGAACTCAGGAGGGATGGTTTCGAATCGCAGGTGAGTCTTGTTCGAGGAACATGAGCACTGAAAGTCGCGAGGTGGAGCGATGTGGTCATCGTGCTAACTGAATGAAAAGAACCATCAAACAAAAACTAGAGCTAAGACAGAGCTAAAAAGTATAATTTTGTTTTATTGATTCAGTAAAGAGTTGACAAATGAAAAAATTGTTCTATTTTTTCAATATTTTTAAATCTTTTCTTCAACATGTGTCCTCAAAATATATTCAGATATAATGTCATAATTTAAACAGATTAATTTTGAGGTAGAAAATACACATTGAAAATAAAACAAACACAAAACTCACAATGAGTGTAGGTTTTCATGTTGGTATGACTGTGTAATGTTCCGCGCATGAGCAAAGACATTCCCATTAAAAATTTTCATCAGGCAGTGCCAATGAAAAGACTGCGTCCAAAAAACCCTCTTGTGCTCTTGTTACATCTGTTCTATCACGGTCGCGGAAAGTTTTTTATTCGAACGTCCTTTTTCAAAGAAGCGACCGTTTTTGGGGTAACCTGTACACAAGCGAAAAGGAGCCATGCTATTGGTTGGGTTTGGCTCGGCTCCCCCCTCTCTCTTCCCTTTTCGTTGACGAGTCGAGCTTTGCTATGGAAACAGTGATTTTGACGGCAATTTTCTCAAAATTTATCGCTAAGATTTCAACCATATTCCAGAATTGAAATCACGTCTCAGAATTCTACCAGTCTGCAAAATCTCATCAAAATCGTACAGAGAGGTTTCGACTTGCATAAGGGGCCACGCGATCAAATCCCAGCGAGGCTGAATCCTGGGGGATACTATAAGGCTACTTCGTGCCTACAAACTTGAAGATGTGAGAGTTGAAAAAATGGAATTATGGCCGCCTAAACCGGCTTCGTGCGGGCATTCAAGTATAATCTAGATGCGTAAAAAAGGCGATTTATTACTCTGATTTAACTGCAACTTAAATCAATCGATTCATCGTGAAAAGGCGAAAAAAAGTCTAACGGCGCTCATTAAGTCAGACTTAAAATGGCGATACTATGGGCCAAAAATTGCGGAAAAAAAAACGAAAAGAGAACGTAATTTTTACTCAGTTTTCTATTGGCCAAACCCAAAACCAATAAGGGTGATAGACCACCACAGGACCTTCCTAAAAAAAATCAAAATCAAAAAATTAGAGATGGGCTATATGATATCGGTATATCGATATTTTCCACACGATATATCGAAATTTTGCATCGATATTTTTCCATTCGATAATATCGATAATCGAAACTAAAGACCCTTCATCGTATACAACCGATATATGTGCATTATTGGCATTATCAGCAGGTAATTGGCTGAGCGATAGCGAAGCCTGTTACTTCAGTGGGATTGAAAAGTTCTTCATGTCTGTCTGTCTGTGTGCACTACTCCTCCTGAACGGCTCGGCCGATCTAGCTGAGATTTTGCACACTTTTAGTGTATGTTCTTGGCTCAGCACACGCGAAATTTCACTATCCTAGCTCAACTGGTTTAGTTTATATAGCCGAAAAACACCTAAAAAACGGCGAAAAATCGAGTTTTCTGCAGGCAAATGCCTGCTGCCCTGAAGAAAGGGGACGAAGCCCCCCAGCCTCGCCAAGTTAAAAAGTAACAAGGGTCAAGGTCGTGTTATCTGTAGATGAAGCAACTCTATCTGGAATGAAGGGGGGTCTGGGGGGCGGAGCGCCCCAGCATGCAACAAGTTAGATGTAACCGACGATGGGCAAGCCATGGCCTGCCGAAGGCAGGATAGCGCCGCAGGCCAACACGTAAAAAAAGACTTTGTTCTGACACCGAAAATGTATGTTGATTTTGGGATAGCTAAAAAAAGTTGTTGGGCGTACTATCAATTTGTTGTCAGAACGAACATTTCGTTCTGACAACGAACTATATCGTCAGGAGTACTAAACATAATAAAAATGAATGTTTGTGCTCCAGACGAATAATTTGTCGTGAGAGCAAAGTGTTCGTTCTCACAACAAATTTATAGTACGCCCAATAACTTTTTTTTTTGCTATCCCAAAATCAACATACATTTTCGTTGTCACAACAAATTCTTTTTTTCCGTGAAGGTAGGTTCGGGCGCGAATTGGAGGAACAGGCAGCGAGACATCGCGAAGCCTGTTACGACAAGACGCGGTCTGGAGTAAACCTACCTTTTTATCACAGGGTGTGAATTAACCTGTTGAGCGAGCGGAATCACTTTAAGATTGTTGACATTCATCCTTTCGGTTGTGTCACTTGTCACCTTGATGAGTTTTTCAATCTTCTTCTCTAGGTTGTCAACTTTGAGTCTGAGATTAGTTATTTCTTCTGTTAACTGTTTGTTACACTTAGTAAGTTCTAGTATAGTGGTTGCTCTTGAGAGTCAACTGTGGTTTCAGTACTCAGATTTAAGTCATCAGAGCTCAAGCTGTCATTCCCGGTGGCCTCCTTAACCTTATCAGCACACGTGCAGTTGTCACACTTGAACACGATTTCACCACTTTTTACCTTTTCAAAGGTT